TTACATAAACAACCCTACAGTAGTCTGCTGTAGCTTGCGCTAACAACGAGTTAACACTCAAACAAGCTAACTGATACTAAAATAAGCCACAAAGTCAAAAGATCCACACTGTTGGACAAATTATTGTTTCCCAGTCCAGGTCCTCTGCCCCACTGTCCTGCATGTTTTCCTTGTTGTCGTTTCAAACACCAGGGTTTCCCTGCTGCCACACACCTGACATGGCATGAATGAGTGATTAACAGGCATCTGCAGCACTTGATGTCCTCCTGAGGAGGCAATGCTAACGTGTAAATCCAGTGTGCTGAAGCAGAGGCATCATGATAGCATGCAGCAATTTGGGTTCTGCGGAAAAACTGTTTAGTGTTACTTTGAGGAGAGGGACAGCTCAGCTCGGACATCAGTTGTAGCTGCTTGTCTTGGCAACATCTGAGCAATTAATGAAAGCAGTATTTGTGCAGCCTTTGCAAAAGTTTTACCAACAATAATTGGTAATTGTTTGGCATAATTGAGATTGTTGCTGTCATGTGCCATAAACATCCTTCTGAATCTTTTATCACCCTAACCCTGCAAGAACCTGTGTGGGTGCTCTTACCTGAAAACAAACGGCAAGTTGACAGTAGTTTTTACAAAACTTTCCTATTTATGACAGCAACACTGAGCAGTCGCTCGAACATTTGGAACACAAGCGCCCTGCAGCTGTGGTGCAGAAACTAAAATGCAAGTTTTAATGAGTAAACCAAGTGTTTCATGTTGAGATTTTGTATGTTTTTTTATCAAGGTCTCATGAATTAACAAACATTTCACTTATTTATCAATGTGTTCATAGTAAACCTTTAATGTTTAGTTAGTTTCAAATTGATTTTTTTAGTTGATCATTCATTCATTTCACTGTGGAGAGTTGCATCATTTCAGAGACTCGGTGTGACATTCACAGGTGGGTGGACTTGAGCAGGTGAGGTGGTTGTAGGCCTGCTTGACAGTTGGTCAGTGTGCAACATGTGGGGATGGTTTTGTGTGTTGGCACCACAAAGCTGCAAATCTTACTCAATGATCCCCTTTGCACAATACGCTAAGTCAGCTCCAGAAACTGCTGAGCTTTAGAGATACTCATGACGTGTTTCTGCAGAGGTCAGTCTGTATTTTAAAATAGATGAGCTGGTTTGCAGATGTAGGTCAGTTTCACGTTGAGGATCTCCACGAAGAACTGAAAGTCATGAACACTTCTTCGTTTTCTCTACTAAGAGTTAAAGCTGTTAACTCCTTTTCTGTAACATGATCTGTTTTCAGCTGAAGACAATTATTTTTATCATTATTCATCTCAGTGTGCATCAACTTTAGCAACTGGAGTCGTTCCAGATACTGTAGCTGAACAGCAACCTCTGAGAATGAATTCACATCCATGGTTTTTCCAAGGCTCGAGGCCTATAATAAACAGGCCTGGCATCACCGGAGCCAATGGCAATGCTTGTGGAAGTTCCAGTAGAATGAAATGTTGTGATTAGTGTGTAAACATGTCGACAAAGAAGAAGAGGTCTGGAGAAACCGAATTATGTTTTCATAGAGTCAAGCTAGCAGCTAGCCTGGGGACCAAGGGTAGACTAAACATACTTGATATGAACGATGGATGGATATGACCTTGGCTCCACCTAAGTACTTCTAATGCCTCACAGCCCCCTCCAACCCAGAAAACTCTGGAACGTTCTCCCTCCCATCCTGAAACTCCAGCAGGCTCAGTGTTAACCACAAAGTCATATACACAGCAAGTGTTCAGAAACAGCTAACTAAAGTAGCTTTCCGGAGTTTTCTACTTTAAGAAATTATGTGTTTTTTCAGAAATCTGTAAAAGTGATTATCTTATGTACAATATAATATAAGCAGTATGTCTTTTATTTATTTATTTATTTTTTGCTAAGCACGCCCCTGCCCCACAGAGCTCCGTGCAATAGGAAACTGAGCGCTGACCAGAACTAAGCAATAACGTTAAACTACCGCTTAGATGCTTCAGATTTAAGGAATACCTCGGCTGATGCAGAGTTGATGAACTTTTCATGGACAAGAAAGTCTTTAACATTCAAAAACACAACATGACATGAGAATAGTACTTGTACAGAAACGTGAAGTCGCCATCTTAAAAAAAACTGAGCAACACACTTTTTGTGTGATGTGCTTGTCAGCCACCAGATGGTGCCATCGGATAAGAGAAATACTCTGGAAAGAGACTGTAATAGATGGTTGACTTATTTCTGAAGGTAATCTGCTGGATCTATGGGCTGACATTAGTTTGAATTTTGTCAGCACGAAGACCTTGAACCAACGCAGCTTTGCAAGGTTTAGGTGTTTTTCCGCTCTGATACTGGACCAGTTGCAGCAGCGACTGTTAAACATGCTATTTCTGCTCATCTGACAGGATAGTTGTAAAAGCTAGTTAAGAGGATGCAGGATGTCATTTTGTTAATCGATGCCATATAGCAGTGGTTGCTAGTATGTGCTTACTGCCTTGCTTTTGTCTCTACTACTACGGTACTACGGTGACACAGAAGCTAAGTGCTCGCCTTGTAATTGGAAGGTTGCAGGTTAGAGCCCCACTTAGTCTGTCGCTGTCGTTGTGTCCTTGGGCAAGACACTCAACCCACCTTGCCTGCTGGTGGTGGTCGGAGGGACCGGTGGTGCCTGTGTATGGCAGACTCACCTCTGTCAGTGTGCCCCAGGGCAGCTGTGGCTACTATGTAGTTCATCACCACCAGGGTGTGAATGAGTGTAAATGACTGACTGTCTTGTAAAGTGCCTTGAGGGGGTTCCAGGTTTCTAGAAGGCATTATGATTTAACATCAATCATTTAACCAAATTCCAGGTCAAAATGGATTTCAATTAAAATTATAGTAGCCTAGTTCTCTCTTAAAATAATGTTATGTGTTTAATAATCTGCGTTTCACTCTTATACTCTAAAATAAACAAAGAACTTTTTGTTTAACTGTTTCTCAGACTAATGGGTGATTGAAATACAAAGAGGGACATCAAGCTTTTGCTTATTTTATCCTTCAAACACACTTTATTTTGCTGATAGTTTTAATGCAATAAACTTGAAACCAGAAACAAAAACAACCTTTCTTTAAAGATTTAGATGGGAAGTGTGTTGATATGCAAAGATTGGCCACTTTTAAGTTCAACAACACATTGTTAAGAGATCTATTGAAATGAGATTGGGCACGTGGTTCTTTTTAGGAAAACTCTGATTAGTCATTTCATAGCTGCCTTCTAAGCTCCCTGACAACAGAGCAAAACCATCATTTTGATATGTTGCAATTTTTAACATGTTTTCTGCGTTTGAACAAAACCTAGCAGTTACTTCTAAACACGCTGGGTTCAGCTGTCCACATAGACACCTGCTGAGTCTCCCAATAATTCAATCCAGTGAAAGGGACGTATCTTTGGTTATGAATATACCAGGGTTTCCCGCAGCGCTTTATAAGCTTGGCGGCCCACCAGGCTTTGCTTACCCACCCGCCAGGCTAAGCGTCATGCCCCTCCCCGACCCTACCGTGTCCGCTAACACGAACAGCGCAGCGAAACTAGAGCCCTCCCATTAGCTGATACTGGAGAGAAACAGCAGCGGAAGTTTGTGTCGGTCGCAAACAAACCAGCTCAAAGAGTATGAGGGCACCTTTTGCACTCATACTTCTCCGTCTCCTGGGGAGTGTTGCAAAGCAATTCCCCGCCAGGACAACAGAGGGCGTAGCACTGTTCTGTGGTATCCTGTCATGTATCCGGCCCAAGATAGTGTGTTTATATTGTGTTTTTTTGAGACTTTTTAACACGGACAAATGTCTCTCATTCTCCTCCACCTCTTCATGGGCTCGCCACCTCTAAACCCACGTTTCCTGTCATTTCCGTCCACAAATAAAACGCTTGCTGTGCATCTTTTCACTCCTCCGGTCACGGGGAATTAAACGTTTATATTTTTAGAGTTTTTTCGCGAGGTATTCAATCTGCTCCGTGTCTGCCGCTAGTTATATTCTTGGCTCTGTTTATGTTTTTGAGGGGGCAATGGCGGCGGTGTAGAGGACAGCGGTGCCCTGACCAATCACAAGCTTGCATTCTCCTTCTCAACGGACAGATGTTTAGAAAAGAGAGCTCGACTCCGTCCGTCCTTGCAGGGCTCTCCAGCAGGCCCGCAAGGACGGATAATGGCGTTGCGTGTCTCCGCACTGACGCAGAAGCGTGAATCAGGCCTGGCGGGCCGCCAGGCTTATAAAGCGCTGAAACCCTGCATTTTATAAGAAGCTGTAGTCTCATGCAATTTCTCATGGAAGGGCTAACCTGCTAATCAGCCTTTGCTTGGTAACCTGCTGTGTCGCAGATCATAAATTATTCCCTTCACAGTGGCTTTGTCTTCTGATTGATTAAAACATAAAGCGGTCAAATTATACCAAGTGTTACAAATATAAAGACCTTTGATAATAAGTAAAAGGACTTTTCAAATGTCAGGTTTTAATTCTGCACTCGTTGAGGAGCTGCATGCTGTTTATTTGTGATTCCTAAATCTGTTTGGTTAAAGATAAATAGACGGGATGGAAAGGATATGTGTTTGAAAAAATGTAAGGTTAGAGAAAATGACATCCTGTTGAGTGTGTTGATTCAGAAACTTAAACGACCTGTTGGAACTTTAGTTTCTGCAAACTCAATTTGTCTGTTTTCATTTCATCCTTTCTTCCTGCCTTGACATTCTGGTACCCCTCCTTTTTGTATTTTTTAACTAATCACCCCCCCAGACAACCTCTCTGGGGAAATCACCGTCCAAAAGCACATCCCTCTTGAGTTAACCTTGGTCTGAGCATATTTACCAGCCCCCACTTTGTGTCCCTCTAAAGAAAGGCCTTTTTCCACCCTGAGGCCAAGTTGATGTGTCCTCCACAAACAGTGTACCAGTGCTTCACTCTCACCATCATTTGTTACACGTTTGATTGAATACTAAGGTCGAAATTCCCTCTGTGTCCCTCCAGGCTGCCGAGTCTGGCATCGTGAAGATTAAGACCATTGCAGCCAGGAACACAGATATACTGGCAGGTGAGTGACATCTTGTTCCAAGTAGCTGAGCCGACCTCTGATTTCTCCGACGCATAAATGATAGCCTATAATACTACAAAATATCCTGATCACGCTAACGTTTCATTGTACGCAGTATGGCATCATGTTGAGATTCAGCAACATCTTTTGTAATGACACAAGAATATAAAAAAAAAATTGCAGTAAAAAATGTAGATTGATTCCACTTTGACACAATTATTCAGTTGGCCCATAGTAAAAATCATGCCTCTGGAGGCAGGCGTTGCAGATTTGCAACATTAAAACCTTCCTACCCGGTTACCCCCAAATTCCACTACCTCCGGTCCGCCCCCGACTTCCGCAGCCGCTCGCTTCCGAACTCAAATTATACTGTACCCGTTCTACAACGGCTCCGCTCCGGTGCGGAGACCTGAGGTGGGCAAACAAGCATGCGCGGGATTTTCGAGATCTTGCGATACAGTCCGAGCAATAAACGCGGAAGTTAGATCCAAACACCCGTTGTGTGGGAGAAGCATCGAAATGAACTGTTTAATCTGCCCATCATTTGTGTTGAGAGATCAGCAGTGTTTGGATCAACAAAGTGTGACTACTTTGATAGTGGAAACTGTATATATGGCTTACTTTTGTGCATTTAAAGTTCAGCCGCCATTGATAGTTATTTAAAGTTGTTAAACCTGTGCATATGAAACAAAAAACGCCTTTTGTTTATCGATTTATTGTGAAAAACAGAAGTTGTGCTTGCTCCTTTTCCTGCTGGGCGGTTGTGATTCCTGTCCATTGACTGCGGAGGTGCTCCGGCGTCCGGCAAAACCCCCAAATTCCACTACCTCTGCTCCGGCACAAACTCCGGAGCAAAATCGGTCCCGTTGTAGTCAATCAGAGCAATTCCACTACTGTGGCCGTGCTCCGGCAGTGCGGCGCCGTGCGCCGCCCTCTGTTCCGGCCTCCGGCAAAAATAGAATCGATCCTTGAGCATTTTTTAATTCAGAAGTTCCCCTGAAGGACTTAGTTGTTCGTCCTTTTATCAAAACTTATTTTGACCCTGAGAGGGTTAATGGTACTTAATAAGAAAAGTTTAATATGATACATTATCTCAGATTTGTCTTTTTGCTAAAAGCTTTTATTCTCATTTTTGCAGCATTTTTTATCTGTATCTCATCGCTCTGCACATCAATAGGGAATTCTTCCAACAAGTTCTTGATCAACAAGTCAAGCTTTATGCATGGTTTTCTGAGTTGGCACATAGTTGGCATTTTCTGAGCCCTGCTGATGACTGTCCACATTCAGCTGTCCCTCTGACTGTATACAGCTCGCTGGTAAATGTCCATTTACTCTGGTGATATAAAGAAAGTTCATCCCACTTAAATTCTAGAATTTTGCACATCAGGACATAATAAAACCATCTGGTGTTTACCAGATTCTACAATTAACCCAAAGTGTACACAAGCACAGCGGGTTCCACCACGTTGTTATTTATTGAACAAGAACGAAGCCTAAATGGAAAGGCTTTGTGAGCAAAACTAATCACACCCTTCCTGCTTCCTTATGATTGGGAGGTCTATGATCAGTCAGGTTCTGCTGATCAAGTGGTCTGTATTTAATATAGTGCCTTCTAGGGTTCTACAACCCCCCAAGGTGCTTTACAACAGTCATTCCACCCCCCCCACCCCCACCCCCACCCCCACACACACACACACATATTCACACACTGGTGGTGATGAACTGCAATGTAGCTTCCATTAGCATCCTCATACTGGTTTCAAACTTTTGATAGACGTCTTGCCTAAACCATTGAGGGAAGGGTTTCCCCCTCAACTCAGACAAAATCATCAATTATTGGCCAATACGTCCCAAGTACCTCCCTCTATTGCTCCATGTGTAGCTTTAACCAATCACTGCACAGTATATTGTTGATTGATGTATCAAATAGCCAATCACATTATTAAAACAATAACCGCCCAAACATATGTCCCATCATCAATTGTTGGACGGATGAATATTGGTTAGAATATATCACCCAACCTTACCCTGGAGTATACTGGTGTGTGGTAACAAAGAAAAATGGTTGGGCGGTGATTACGTTTTTAATGCAAGTGTCCTTTTTTGATTTTATTGTTGTTTAATGAGCAATGACATTGTGGGAAAAGATCAGATCATTTCTACCAGATTATTGTCCCAGGAGTTTCTTGAGGATTTTGGGAGAAAAAAAACACAAATCTCCCACCTGGTTATTTTTTGTTTGTTTCTATGTGCATTTATGAAAAATGCAGACAATTTTAACTCTTTCTGTCATCCCTTCCTGCAGCATTGAAGGAGAACAGCTCAGAAATTGTGCAACCTTTCCTGATGGGTTGTGGCACCAAAGAGCCAAAGATCACCCAGCTGTGTTTAGCTGCCATTCAGAGGCTCATGTCTCACGAGGTGGTGTCAGAGGTGAGGACCAATATAAAGAATCATTAAATACATCTCACGTTTTTTTCTAGGTTTTAATGACAAAATGTTTAATGTGTGATGGCAATTTCTCTCGTCGTCTTCCTCCGCTTATCCGGGTCCGGGTCGCGGGGGCAGCATCCCAATTAGGGAGCTCCAGGCCGTCCTCTCCCCGGCCTTGTCCACCAGCTCCTCCGGCAGGACCCCAAGGCGTTCCCGGACCAGATTGGAGATGTAACCTCTCCAACGTGTCCTGGGTCGACCCGGGGGCCTTCTGCCGGCAGGACATGCCCGAAACACCTCCCCGGGGAGGCGTCCAGGAGGCATCCTGACCAGATGCCCAAACCACCTCAACTGGCTCCTTTCGATCCGGAGGAGCAGCGGTTCTACTCCGAGTCCCTCCCGAATGTCCGAGCTCCTCACCCTATCTCTAAGGCTGAGCCCGGCCACCCTACGGAGGAAACTCATTTCGGCCGCTTGTATCCGCGATCTCGTTCTTTCGGTCATTACCCAAAGCTCATGACCATAGGTGAGGATTGGGACTTAGATCGACCGGTAAATCGAGAGCCTGGCTTTCTGGCTCAGCTCCCTCTTCCCCACGACAGATCGGCTCAGCGTCCGCATCACTGCAGACGCCGAACCAATCCGCCTGTCGATCTCCCGATCCCTCCTACCCTCACTCGTGAACAAGACCCCGAGATACTTAAACTCCTCCACTTGAGGTAGGACCTCTCCCCCGACCCGGAGGTGGCAAGCCACCCTTTTCCGGTCGAGAACCATGGTCTCAGATTTGGAGGCGCTGATCCTCATCCCAGCCGCTTCACATTCGGCCGCGAACCTACCCAGCAAGAGCTGAAGGTCAGAGCTGGATGAAGCTAGGAGAACCACATCATCCGCAAAAAGCAGAGACGAGATTCTCCTGCCCCCAAACTCGACACACTCCACACCACGGCTGCGTCTAGAAATTCTGTCCATAAAAGTGATGAACAGAACCGGTGACAAAGGGCAGCCCTGGCGGAGTCCAACCCTCACTGGGAACAGGTCCGACTTACTACCGGCTATGCGGACCAAACTCACGCTCCTCTGGTAAAGGGACTGAATGGCCCTTAACAGAAAGCCACCCACCCCATACTCCTGGAGCGTCCCCCACAGGGTGCCCCTGGGGACACGGTCATAAGCCTTCTCCAAATCCACAAAGCACATGTGGATTGGTTGGGCAAACTCCCATGCCCCCTCCATCACCCTTGCAAGGGTATAGAGCTGGTCCACAGTTCCACGGCCAGGACGAAAACCACATTGCTCCTCCTCTATCTGAGATTCAACTATCGATCGGACCCTCCTCTCCAGTACCTTGGAGTAGACCTTTCCAGGGAGGCTGAGGAGTGTGATCCCCCTATAGTTGGAACACACCCTCAGGTCACCCTTCTTAAAGATGGGGACCACCACCCCGGTCTGCCACTCCCTAGGAACTGCCCCCGATGACCACGCAATGTTGTAGAGACGTGTCAACCATGACAGCCCTACAACATCCATAGCCTTGAGATACCCAGGACGAACCTCATCCGCCCCCGGGGCTCCGCCGCTGTGTAGTTGTTTGACTACCTCAGCAACTTCTGCCCCCGAGATCGGACAGTCCATCCCCAGGACCCCCAGCTCTGGTTCCTCCTCGGAATGCGCATTGGTGGGATTGAGGAGCTCCTCAAAGTATTCCTTCCACCGTCCGACTATAGCCTCAGTCGACGTCAGCAGCTCCCCATCCCCACTGTAAACAGTGTGAGCGAGTTGCTGCCTTCCTCTCCTGAGGCGCCGGACAGTTTGCCAGAACCTCTTTGGAGCCGATCGATAGTCTTTCTCCATGGCCTCACCAAACTCCTCCCACGCCCGAGATTTTGCCTCGGCAACTGCCACTGCTGCACCCCGCTTGGCTATCCGGTACCTGTCTGCTGCCTCCGGAGACCCACAGACCAGCCACGCCCTGTAGGCCTCCTTCTTCAGCCTGACGGCTCCCCGAACCTCTGGTGTCCACCAGCGGGTACGGGGGTTGCCACCACGACTGGCACCGGCCACCTTACGACCACAGCTAGCAACAGCCGCCTCGACAATCGCAGAGTGGAACAAGGCCCACTCGGACTCAATGTCCCCCACTGCTCTCGGGACGTGGTCAAAGCTCTGCCGGAGGTGGGAGTTGAAGACCGTCTTGACAGGTTCTTCTGCCAGGCGTTCCCAGCAGACCCTCACTATGCGTTTGGGTCTGCCAGGTCTACGCGGCATGTTCCCTTGCCATCTGATCCAACTCACCACCAGGTGGTGATCAGTTGACAGCTCCGCCCCTCTCTTCACTCGGGTGTCCAAAACATACGGCCGCAGGTCAGATGATACGACTACAAAATCTATCATCGACCTGTGACCTAGGCTGCCCTGGTACCAAGTGTACCGGTGGGCATCCTTATGTTCGAACATGGTGTTCGTTATGGCCAAACTGCGGCTTGCACAGAAGTCCAATAACAAAACACCGCTCGAGTTCTGATCAGGTGGGCCGTTCCTCCCAATCACACCCCTCCAGGTCAAGCTGTCATTGCCCACGTGAGCATTGAAGTCCCCCAGCAGGACAATGGAGTCCCCTGATGGAGCACTATCTAGCACTCGTCCCAGGGACTCCAAAAAGGGTGGGTACTCTGAACTGATATTTGGCCCATAAGCACAAACAACAGTCAGGACCCTGATGGCAATTTAATTTAATAATTCAAAATGCAATTGGCAAACATTCATTTTATTTTTTCTCTGTGTGAAAAAAATAACTGCACATTTCTGGAAGGGTTGTGTCCTGCTCCACATCCTTTATTAAACTAGCACTTAATTCAGAAAAGAACATCATACAAACGGTTAGGGATTTCCCGATCACAGTTTGGTCCCACAAGCTGTGTCCAAGTCTTTTAAATTTGAACATCTGCCCATAGTATTGATCCGATTAAATAGTTAAAACAAGAAGAAAAAGGAGAACACATCCATGTAGTCCATTAAGATTTTTTTTTCATTGTTATTTACATATTTCTTTCTTTCTGTAGTTATATCTTTCGTTAATGTATCTGCCAAAAGCATCAAATGTTCAGGAAGTACATTATTAAGAAACATGTTAATCTTAGAAATATATTTAAAAGTAGCTTTGTTTCTCTTATTTCAAATTTTTTACATAGTACATGGCTGTATTGAGTGATGTGTATTTCTGCAAAATGGCAGGCCGGCTCTTCTCTGCATATCACCTGTAGACCTGTAGTAAAGTACTGACAATAAGGTGGCTCATACCGCAGCTCCTGGAGACTACGAAACCCAACATTTGCAACCACAGCCAGCCATCCAGTGGATTTAATACAGCCATCTTGGTTATGACCTTTTTGCTGCCCTTAATTTTCTTCTCTGTATTTTTGTCCAAGTTGCTGCTGTGAACTGGAAGTTAGGGCTGGGCGATATGGCAAAAATAGAATATCACGATTTTTCCAATATTTTATCACGATTTCGATTTTATCACGATTTTTTATCCATGAATAGCATAACTTCAATTGCGTATTAAAGAAGAGAAATATTGAATAAATAAACATTTATTCATATTAGGGATAATCAGCACAGTGCTATCACACTTATATTTTAAACTCACACCAGAGATGATAAAAGCCCTGAGAGAAACAATTACAAAAATCAGTTTTTCTCGTTTTTCAAGTAACTTAACATAAATTAAAATCGTAAACATATTTAAAGTGCAAACATGTCAATTGCAAACGTATTGTGCAAACATTAACTTGTTCAAAATATTATGTAGCTCCCAGTTGCTCATGTAGTGGATAGTTAAGCTCAAATATGGCTCTGATGTGCTGCTGGACCAGAGATCGCTTGTGGTAGCAAATAACTGCGCATTCTGAATATTTTCTGCAACAAGTCTCTAAATAAAGTAAAAATTTCCAGTGCAGATTGGAGACAACCCATAGAAGCACTGATTTGATCTCATTTCAGAGAAAAATAGAACAGGTTGGATGCACCTAATAAATAAAATTACTAACAAACTCAGGAATCTTTCTTTGCTTCACTGTTCTGGTGCTGAAAATATCACTAATGTGGATCAAAGGAGATACACAGATGAATGCACCTCTTATTATTTGGAGACTACATTTACTGCAGCTGGCAGAGGCAGATTGTTTCTATTGATACACGGAGTTTACAGAATCATTTTAAATGTTTCTAGGGGAAGACTGCAGGAGGGAGCGGTAAAATACAGGAGTCCCAGCAAAAACAAGAAACTACGAGTCTGATGAAACCCGCTGGTTTTCCATCAGGCAGTCACGGGGCAGCTCCAGCGACCCAGTGACTGAGCTGACACCGGTACCGACACCGGCTCGGCAGAGGGTGGACGAGCCGAGGCGGCGTCGTGCTCTGCTTAAGAAGCGGTGTTATTTTCCTGCTTCAGAAGAAGCGTCCAACGTGTTTTTACGCTTTCTCCGAGACATGTCACGTCGCTAAGTTGTTAGCGCCGCGCGCTAAGGAAACCCTGCGTTCCTCTTCGGAACGAAAACCTCGTCGCTCAGCCACGGCGAAGCCATGTTTGTTCACACACAAGTGAAAACAAGCGGGGCACCAATATATTACTATGACTCACTCTGATTGGTTTAGGGTCAAACAAAGGCGTGTCATTCGCCTGAGGTAAGTTCCCTTTTCATTCAGAGGCAGAAATTCAACAGCAGAGCTGTGAATCGTGATAAAACGGTCTCTCAAAAATGACAGACCGTCAGATGTGTGGATCGTAAAACGGTCTAAAATCGTCTTATCGCCCAGCCCTACTGGAAGTATTGAGTGAGTTTTTTTAAAACTAGAACAAAATGGAGACTAACTGTAGTGATTCCTGAAGGGAAACGCCAAAAGAGAAAGTAGAAGTAACTTTTTAAGGCGGCCGCTCAAGTTTGTAGTGTTGAAATATCTGAGCACTGACTTGAACACTGGCCGCTTTGTGATTCTCC